CTGCCTATCTCACATATCTGTTTAGCCTGTGGAGCTGAAAATATATTATTCTTGCATAATGCTATTATATTGAAAACTATTAGCAATTTTTTCAAATCCTTAAAAGCTAAATGACATTTTATATAAAAATGAATTCAAACAAATAACTTTTCAAGATTCCAATCATATATGAAATACATTTTTAATCCATGTTTTTAAAAAGAAGCTATTTCAAATAAAATTAAATATTAACATCAATTCATCAAATTTTCAAAAGTTTTTATGAAAGGCTAAAGAAAAGATTAACAATAAACAAATTCATCATCTTAAATAAAATCTGTCCTGTTCAGAATATGAAAAAGGTTGATAGAAATTAATTTGTAAAATTTTTATTGATAACTATCTTACCGATAAAAGAAACGTTTCCAAGCATTAACACATGATGCGGTCCACACCCAAGATGACATCAATATACCAGTGCCAAACACAGATATCAGATGAAGATAAATGACCATTGGACTCATGCGATTCTTAAATGAGCAGGTGCTTTTGTTTTCGTGCATCTCTGCTGCCTTCTTGGCTGAGCAACTATATAAAAATATCTAAAATGTAATGTGAACGTGTCATAAATTAATGTAAATTACAATAAATATAATTCTTACACAATATATTTCCACAAACTGTTCTTCCATTCTTGTTGGTACTTATATTCGTATATATGACATCCAAAAGAAAATGATACAAATAGTAAACAAAGAAAGGTAAAAATAGCTATAAAATTACAAGAAAATTTATATAATTACATTTATAACAGAAATTAATAAATAAATCAAACATTGCAATCATAAAAATGTCAAATGCAGCAGTGCAATTAAATTGCTTGGAGATCGAGAACATCTTGGATGGCATAACCAACACCTTTTTCAAATAATGACCTCAACAGTGCCAAGACAAGAGTGTGAGTGCTCTCACTCCACACCCAAATCAGAGCCTTGACTGAGAGAAAAGCAACTTTTGCTGCTGACAAAAGCTTTTTAGTTTATGCTCTAATGGTTCTGTGCCAGACAAGAAGATGACCTATGCTCAGTAGGGCAAACCTAGCTGATCAACAGCTTAGCCTTATGTGTCTAACACCTAGGTACAGGTCAATTTCTCATAAAAAGTCCTCCCAGGAGGCATTGCCATCATGTTCTATTGCCTTACCTCACCAAATAAAACTTGTAGTGTAGTCATTTAAATTCCATGCATTTGTTACTTCATATCTTTAACATCAGCTAGAAGTTAAAGTAGAAGCAAAATAGTGCAGGCAAACAACACAGGATGAATTACTATTAATTATAAATTATGCAAATTTAATGTCAGGCTTATTAAAAATTGTCAAATCAATTTCCACTGTCAGTCAATAAATGGGATGGATAAGTAAGGTTATACCAGTGGTTCCCAAAGTTTTTTGATTCTAGACACCCTTGTTAAATCCAGGTTTTTCAAAGGCACCCTCTGTCAAATTCTAACAAGTACAATTTGCAAAATAGCCAATCATTTTTTTAATTAAAGAGTTAGGACATTAAGTAAAAAATAAATAAAACATAATTGAACAAATTTGATTAATTATTATTATTGGGATGGATGAGCCTGTTGACTGCACATTTTCTCAAATCTTGGAATCGAATTGGACACAGCCACCCTCATTTCCTTCTCCACATTGATTTTCATGAGATTCTTAGTTTTTATCACAGTGACAGCCAAAAATTCAACTTCACACAATAAGAAGTCTCAAATGGAATTAAAATTCTCCAAGCCTTACCACTCAGAAGGGATATTCATCTTTTACTGATATCCAAAATTCAGTTAATTTTATGCTGTTAAATTTTGTTTTCAACATATTGTCACAGGACANCGTTTTCGATCTACTTCATAGATCATCTTCAAGTTGAAAGAAACGAATATGGAATAACCACAAAGAATAGAACAATAAATTTAAAATTCAAAAATATCAACGACTGAGTAATTAAGTAAAATGTAAAAATACCAATTGTAAAAATAAATAACATACAACAATAAATAAGTAATAGTACAAGTCGTTATGTATAAACGCCAGAGATGCAGAGGGCCTACCCTCAGCATGGAAGTTTGCTATTAAAAGACTTACAAATGGCTTATGAATGACGACTTGATTCGCAATTCACATTATGAGAGCATTTATAATTTTTGTTAACTGTTAACGACTTGTACTATTACTTATTTATTGTTGTATGTTATTTATTTTTACAATTGGTATTTTTACATTTTACTTAACTATTACTTATTTATTGTTGTATGTTATTTATTTTTACAATTGGTATTTTTACATTTTACTTAATTACTCAGTCGTTGATATTTTTGAATTTTAAATTTATTGTTCTATTCTTTGTGGTTATTCCATATTCGTTTCTTTCAACATGAAGATGATCTATGAAGTAGATCAAAAATGTTCGTTTTTTAAATAAACTCCCTCGGCAACGGATAAGGTGTTGATTTTTTTGATTACAGACAGTAAGCTAATAAAAAGCAAATAATTAACGTAGTTCTTTTTCATCAACTTTACAGTAGTCAAAAAATAGAAAGCTTTTATTCCTTACAAAGAATAAGAAGAAACATATGAAACCTAACATAATAAAACAACAATTTAATTACTATTTTTTTAATAAAATTTGATCTTGATCTCACTCACACAAGTATCAATAATCAATGTACGCTGCTAGAAAATATTTACTATACATGCAGCATTTCTTCATATAAAATGTTTAATTTTAGCATTTATCAAACATTAATTCAAAAACATGACCATCTAATTATTTCAAAATAATTATGACAAAACTGGAGAGGCAAGCAGATAAAAGAAGCAAACCTTGTATAACTCCAGCAAAATATTTATTTGACTAAAAACATTTTTGATCTATTACTGTAGGATTTCTTCAGTTGAAATATCAAACTTAAATGAAAAAAAAAAAAGAATACAAAGAACATTTTAATCTAATACAATGCTCCATTCAATACAATGAATATAAGAAAAAATAAAACAAATAAAGTCATTGTATAATAAAAATATAAACAAGTAATTATAAAATTGAATTGTACACAAAGTAAAAATAAACAAAGAATTAACAGAGGTCCAAGCCAAAGTTAGAGCTCAATATTGATAACATGTCAGCATCCCTATGGTTGAAAAAGAAGTGTTCTCTATTAGCTTTAAAAATTTCTAATAAGTCCAAGAACTTGATTGGTTAAGCCTTCTGAAGGGTCTAACGATCCTAGCTTCATTCCATTTTAATAAAGTGATCAACCGTGCTCCTTTAGGAAGTTTTGTACTCCTTTCAAACATATACTCCAAAAATACTCCTTTTGGTCTTTGTGCCAGTAATTTAAATTATAGAAAGGAAAAAAAGAAATTAAAATTTGCTGGATTACAGTGGCCTATAGTTCAAGAATATTTTTTAGATGGCAGTATGAGTTCAGATATTCCCCATTTTTTCATATTACAGTAGAGCATCGTCTATCCAAAAGCCTTTTCGGATAGACGACGCTCTACTGTAATATGAAAAAATCAACTGAAATGTCGGTTAACCGAAAGCATCCCAGTTGGACTGTGTCGTGCTGAATCGAATGTTTTTGATACTAGATTAACTTCCAAAATATAATTTTTTTGTTTTTATATTTTTCATTATATTTATTTTGTTTGTACAAAATAAAGAAATAATTTTTAACAATACAATAGCCACGATTATGATTTTAAAAAATTTATGTTAGGCTTAACATCGACAAAAATTCAACACGATGTGATGCGCAATGGAGAAAAATTTCAACATGGGATAGGTTAATATATTTTTTCGTACATAATCAGTTATCCGAACAACCCCAGTCCCCAATTGATTTGGATAAACGATGCTCTACTGTATTCTGAATGTATGTTCTTTATTTGTCCACAAAAGTTTTTCTATTCTTTTTAGATTTGTTATTCATAATCATCATTTATATTGGCTCTTTTAAATAATTCAAAATCACTTATCTTTTTTAATTTTTGCATCAGAATTTGTTTACATAATTATACTTAATTATTGTCATGTCAAGTATTCAAAAGTATTTAAATCATGCAAAGTCTTTGAAAACAAATGCTGTGTATCTATTAAGATCATCTAATAATGTTCTTACAATCTATCAATTAACAGAAATGATAAAAAATAAAACATGATTTCAAATTGTTGAATTATTGATGTATAAAAAAATGAGCATTTATTTATTGTGACATTGTCACAATGCTGAGCTGCAATTTTTACTTTTCTGGCTGTTGTATATACATAACAAGGGAAAGTATTGGAATCACACCAAATTTAACCCTCCAAGATTTTTCCAATCTCATTGTTTTGAGACCTCCTGAATCCAAAACAGTTGAAAAAACAGCAAAAAACTTCTGTGGATGTGTAGTTTGTTTTGATATCTATTTCGCTTAATATCTTAGGATGGGGTAAAGATTAAGAAACAAAATTTGGCATGGTGGCTTGTATATGAGGGGCATTGATGCTATTAAATTTTGGTGGTGAAAAGTCAATTGAGTGGGGAGATAGAGGGACGTCGTGTATCTCAGAGTTAAGTCCCACTCCCTCTTAAGTTCTGAAAACTCACTCCATCTCTGTTGCTAATGACTAAATTGTTTTTACCTCTCAGGCTATAAGGAGAACTTGTATAACAATACTAGTCTAACAACTTTTCAACTGGCTAATTTCGTTTTTAATGGATAAAGTCAATTTCATGTTTAAAGCATTTATGAAGATTTTATTCATTATTAACATTTTAAAAAAAATAAAACTCACCCCTATCCTCAAAATTAAGCTTTTTGCCATTTTATAGTAATTATAAATATAAAAATTTTTATAACAAAACCTGATAACAGATGACACCACACACAATTTTATTTTTTGCTTAATACAGTAGACCCCCTATAACACAGTAGATACGCTCCGTTTTATATGAATTCCATACCAATTGTAA